TTGTGATGTCCATGGTATTTATATACTTATACTTTTCTCTGCTTTCACCTTCAGATCGCCGTGTTGTTGGTCGCCTTCGTGGCAGCAGAGCAGAAACGCGAGGCTGAGCCTTCCTACGGCCTCCACTACCCCCTTGCTTATCCTTATGGTGTAGGCCTAGGCAGTGCCTACGGGCTCTACCCATATGGCAGTCACTCCTATCTCAGTACCCGCAGCCATGTCCTTCACAAGCGCGACGCCGAAGCCGATCCTGGCTACCTTTTAGGAGGAGGTCTTGGCCTAGGCAGCCCCTATGGCTATGGACTCCCTTATGGCCTTGGCTATGGATATCCATTAGGTCACGTCTCTTACCACGCCGCCGGCCACTCAATCGGCAAGCGTGAGGCTGAACCTAGCTTCGGCCATGGCCTTCTTAGCCACGGAGCATCCTACGGCTACACCCCCTCTCTCCTCTATCCAGGGATCGCCCATTCCTACCAATACAATCGCGCTTATACTCCGCTTATTTACGGATAGTGAGAATATTGTTCTTCATCTGGATGTGATTGAATAAAATACATTGTATGTAAGAAGTCTGCACATTGATATTTTAATTCCATTAATATTTGCATTTCATTAACGTTGCTATCAATTACCAGTACATTCACTGTCGTATACTAAGTATCAGATCAGGCTGAAGCTACACCAATAATAATTGGTAATGAGGATAATTGTTATTATAATTATATATATAAATAGATAGATATAATTATTGTTATAGTGTTAACCATAATACTGTAAAGATAATATCTAAAATCTTAATAAAAATTACAGTAACATCACTACTAGTAAAAGCAATGGAACCAATAATGATAAAAAAAAAAAAAATATTAGTGGCAGTACTCCTTAAATGAATAATCATATTCATTAATAATAAAATTAATTAAGGGAATTAATTACCCAAGTTATATGATAACACAAAGATATATTAATGGTAATATCAAGAAAACAACAATTGGTGGCGATAAAAAGGACAATAATTCTATATAGTAGTTATATCAACAAGAATCATAATAGTAATCCTCAGCATAATTATTAACAGAAATAACAGTTACATTTATAATGATAACTTAATTAAATACAAAGAAAATAATCGTAATATACACTCACAAAATAAACTCACCCATAATACATGTAATGGACAGACCACACATCACACAACATATTGATAAAGTATGAGATGTGTAATGTTGATGCTTTGGTCAAGTGAAGGTAACAAACAGCAATATTTGGTGTCTTGCTCGATCAAATAATGGGGTCTTTGAAGTACAGTGTCTCTTACATGCTTTCTATGTGAATATAAAGACATTCTTAAAAAAAAGAAAAAAAAATGATTTTAGTGATAATGATGATAATAATATTATTGTTATTATCATTATCATTATCATAATCAATATTGTTAATACAATTATCATTATTTCACTTGTTATTGTTATTATTGTTGTCCATATTACTGTTTTTATTTTTTTATCGTAGTATCATTATTATTACTATTATAATAATTTTTATCATCACCACCACTATTGTTATCCCCATTAAGATTATTATTATCATTGTTATTATCATCACCATCATCATCAACAACATCATCGTCATCATTATCACTAATTGTTAATACAATTATCATTATTTCACTTATTATTGTTATTATTGTTGTCTATATTACTGTTTTTATTTTTTTTTAATAGTATCATTATTATTACTAGTATAATCATTTTTATCATCACCACCACTATTGTTATCCCCATTAAGATTATCATTATCATTGTTATTATCATCACCATCATCATCAACAACATCATCGTCATCATTATCACTAATTGTTAATACAATTATCATTATTTCACTTATTATTGTTATTATTGTTGTCTATATTACTGTTTTTATATTATTATTATCATTGTTATTATCATCACCATCATCATCAACATCATCATCATCATTATCACTAATTGTTAATACAATTATCATTATTTCACTTATTATTGTTATTATTGTTGTCCATATTACTGTTTTTATTTTTATTTTTATTTTTTTTAATAGTATCATTATTATTACTAGTATAATCATTTTTATCATCATCACCACCACTATTGTTATCCCCATTAAGATTATCATTATCATTGTTATTATTACTATGCTACTGCTGCTACCGCTGCTGATTCTTTTATTATGATTATCACAAATTTTGCTGTCGTAGTTATTTTAGCATACGAGTTTTACCATCATATGCATTGTAATTATTCATATAAGAATAATATGAAGTTATAATAAGAATACCACTGTTACTTATAATAATACTGATAACAAAAATGACAATATCAGTACAGATAATGAGAAGGATAATGATTAGCATAAAAAGATGAAGAAAGCATATGGTGTAAGATTAATAGCGTAAAGATTTACACAATAAAATTGGTTTCGTCTAATAACTGTACATCTTTCCATGATCTATGCTGAA